GCTCGGGGGGGGGGGGCGCTGGGGGGGGGGGGGGGGGGGGAAGAGAAAGCTGGAGACCTGCCCTTGCAATGGGGGGGGCATTGCTGGTAGGGGAGGAGGAGAGCTGGAGACCCGCCCCTGTGGTGGATAGGGTTACCAGATACCTTCACAAAAAAATCCCAAACAGGCAAGGAAAAATTGGTCAAGGAAGGAAAAAAAAAAAAAAAAAAAAGGCCGCTGCGCCTTTAAATTACCATGCTCCTTGCTCGCCCCGCCCTTGCGGACGATGCCAGCCATCTGTCCAAGGAAAACAGAAAATACCAGACATGTAAAATGTCTGGTATTCTCTTTTTTTTAAAAAACCAGACGGAAGGCCAAAATACCGAACTGTCCGGGCGAAAACTGGACACCTGGCAACCCTAGTGGTGGAGGGCCTTGGCTCCCACAGCGGGAGGGACCTTGGGTGGAAGAGGCAGGACTGGGTGGCTTGCTTCCCCCAGCCTTAGCTTCACCCACCACCCATGCCTGCAAGTCACACACAACTAAATGGGTTTAAAGGGCTGGGGGTGCTATCCGGGTAGGCACCACAAGTGTGTGCAGTGGTGAAAATCCAAATGTGTTTCCAAGCCAAGCAAAAGGGCATGATACTTCACAGTGCCTCAGCTCACTACCATGCTCTTGTGGCTAAGACTTGACAGACTCCTGAGATTTGGGTTCAGGTCCCCATTCTGCCACAGACTTCCTGCGGGACCCAGCAGTCACTGTCCCACCTCCATCCCTCCGATTTTCCTCCTGTGGAGTGGGAATTATGCCTGCCCGCCCCTCTAAGTGCTGGGAGGACAAATTCCACCAAGTTTGCAAGTAAAGCGGAGCTAGATCTTTTGAGCAAAAGATTTTTCATAAAATAAAGTGGTGGGAAGCCTTTTTTGGAAGAGAAAATCATCAACAGAATTGATATTTTCTGTAAAAATGCTTCCCACATTTACTCCCCCACTACGTTTTACTGAAAACCTCAACTGGGGGGCTTGCAAATTCTGCAAACCACTTTGAAAAACCAGCTCAGAATAAAAACCCTGCCAAATGGGCCCATTTGAAAGAGCTCTGAAGCTAAGACGGCTTCAAGCCGTCGAGAGCTACACGGCTAACGAGATGGGAACGCCAACGGGAGTCTGACTCTCAGAGCCGACATTTCAGATCCCAACGTGCAAGTAATGACAATATTTAAATGAGAGCAATGACTGAAAGAGGCCCCTTCCCTGAAGGGGACGCAGCACACCAAGCATGAAATAACTTCAGCGCACGCACACAGAGAAAGGAATTCATCACATTCTCAACCTCCTCGTGGGTCCTCTGAATTAGTTGGAATTGCAGCATGAGTCAAGAAGAGCCGGGCCATTAGCTCAGATGCAATTTATTTACAGCTCATCCCCGTTTTTGCGAGGCAAAAGCACTGCAGAGAACAGAATGCTCTCCAGCCTGCAGAATCCATTCCTGCATTGTGCTTTTTAGCAACCTTTCTGTGCACTTGGCTTTAAAGCTGGAATTACACACTACAGCACAGGGCGTCTGAGTGAGGGGCCTCTCCCAATACTTTCAATCACGGACGAAGGGGGAATTATTAATCCAAGGGGAAGTCACAAGGGTTCACTCACACACAGTGTTTCTGAAAATTGCCCTGCTTGGAACGTGCTACAATAGGGTGACCAGATAGCAAGAAAAAGCCCCAAATATTAGGACTATCCCTATAAAAATCAGGACACCTGGTCACCCTAAGGCACAGGGTTCTTCATGATTTCAGGGAGGAGGCGCCTGGCTGGTGGGAAAGCCTCTATTTGCACCAGAAACATGATTTCCCACCAGCCTTCCCTGTAAACTGTGCACTTGTGTGGCCACTCGGGAGAGATCCAAATGCCACCCAGCTGAGTAAGAGCGCCCACAGCTAGGTTTTTTGTTGGGAGAGATCCAAATGCCGCCCAGCTGAGTAAGAGCGCCCACAGCTAGGTTTTTTGTTTCGGTCAGTGGTACACACCTGCACATGCCTCAGTGCATATAGGTGGTACACATCTGCACGTGCCTCAGTGCATATAAAAGTTATTCTGCACATGGATAAAAAAAGATTAGAGGGAACATTGGCTCACACAAGGCCTGATTCTGCCCTCCCTTGCCCAGATAGACCTCCCAATGGAGGGTCAGGCCTAACACCCATCCCCTGGTCTCCAATCCCATTGCAACCCTCCTGTTGTGTCTTGGCTCATACCATCTGTGACGGCGCGTTGGGGTCCCCCTGTCACGCTTCTATGCATAGAGCCCTACCAAATTCATGGGCCATTGTAGACAATTTCATTATCTTAGGATTTAAAAAATTGTAAAATGTCATGATTCCAGCTATTTAAATCTGAAATTTCACAGTGTTATAATTGTGGGAGTCCTGACCCAAAGAGCAGTCGAGGGTGGGAGGTCACAAGGTTATCATAGTGAGGGGTGTGGTACTGCAACTCTTACTTCCATGCTTCTGCTGGCAGCAGTGCTGCTTTCAAGCTGGTCAGTGGGAGAGCAGCGGCTGCTGGCCAGGAAAACAGCTCTGAAGGCACAGCCACCACCACCAGCAGCATAAAAGTAAAGATGACATGATATGGTGTTGCTACCCCTAGTTCTGCATTGCCACCTGCAATGTGGGTGGCCAGAGAGTGGTGGCTGGTGGCTGCTGACAGAGCGCCCAGCTTTGCAGGCAGCAGCACAGACAATGTGGGGGGAGCAATACCATACCAGGCCAGCTTTACTTCGGTGTTGCTGGTGGTGGCAGCTCCGCCTGCGGAGCGGGGCTCTCCAGCTGCTTAGCTGAGAAGGCCATGCAGAAGGGTTGCAAATCAATCTTCTGACCCTCTGCAACTCCCTTTCAGGTCAGGACCCCCCAATTTGAGAAATGCTGGTCTGCCCCATGAAATCTGTAGAGTATAGGGTAAAAGCACCCAAAAGCCCAGATTTTCAGTCTGGGATGTGTTCTTCATGGCCATGAATTTGGTAGGACCCTATATATGCATCTCATCTCTCTCTTCACCTCTCCAGTCTGTACAAAATGCTGCAGGTAAACCCATCTTCCTTCCCCTTGTCACACATATTCCAACCCCCTCCACCAGCTACACCTCCCCTTTCACGCCTGCTTCAAATATCTTGTCACATTCCAGGCCAAAGGCCTGCTCCATTCCTGCCAACACCACTTCCTTCCGCCGCACTCCCACCAACAAGCTGCAAACAGCCATTTCCCACTCCTCTCCAACCGTCCTTGCTGCCCCACAAAGGATCCATGGGCCTGGGACAGCTGGCTTTGCCAGACCCTCACGGAGGCCATGCACCGGAGCGCATCCGAGGAGCACTGTAGAAGTTAGGCAGCTCAGAAAGTACCACCCAAAGGATCCAGAGTGACAGCACCCTGTGGCCTTCTCATTGGCCCATGCTCTTTATTTAATCCTGAAGTCTGGCTGCAGGAAGTTGTCTGGGTAGCCAAACAGTGGTCTGGATAGCTGTTAGACTGTACTTCCGGACTCCAACCCCACCCTGACTCGGATCCTGACCCTCACCTATCAGTGCTGGCTCTAGCGATTACTGTGATCCCTGCTTGCTGACTACAGTCTCATAGTGGTCCTTGACTTGTAGACACTAGCCCAGACCAGCTACACCCTGATCCCTTACAGCCCCTTTGTTCAATCTCCTCCTTTCAGCCAAGTGTCTCCTTAAAAGACAAGAATTCTCAGCATTCGCCAGTGGGCTGTCTTCTAATAATCCAATGCACGACAGGTCTGGACTGTATGATCTGTGCCTCATTTAAATTCTAAAAGCTGTGGAACAGGAACAGGGACTTCCGCTGTTTTATACAGCACTGAGCACACAGTCAGTACCTGACAAGCCACATCCTGGCTTGTGGACCCATTGTCAGTAACATCCATTTCTTTTCTCCTCCTGCAAATAAACAAATTCACTGCAGCCAGCACAAAACCGATTGGACTGTGCTTTTGCAAGCAAATGGGGAACTCCTAAGGATGGTCTCTATCCCAGGAATTTGTGCGGTTATGAATTAAAACATAACCCAGTGCACTCTCAACTCAGCACCACATCAGTCACTAAGTTACTGTGTGTTTAAGACAAGAAAGATTCAGCTCAGCAAAAAAGTCATTTACTGTCTTCCCAAAGACATCACCAAAAAAATCACAGTCGCTGGTGGACTGGCAAAGGGACACTCTAAAAATAGAGACAGAGAAGTTGAATCAGGGCCTAGATTGTATTATTGTGCTGCCCAAAGACCAGGGTCCTATCGTGCTAGGCGCTGTACAGATTTACGCCCTGACCCAGCGTCTGACCATGCACTGTACAAGAGTCCAGAGACTCAGCAGTCCATCCATCATAGGAGCACGGCCACAGAAGAAGACATGGCCCCTGCCTTGATGAGTTTGCAAGTTAAAAAAGCAAACACCATACAAAGGACAGGGGGAAAAGATCACGTTTTTGCACGCGTGTTAGTCTTTCATTTAATAAGGACAAATGCTGCCTCAGTGTTTCAAAGGGGCATTGCTGTGGAGCCCGGGGTCAGCTGGGGACTCCCCAGCTGATTCTAGGCTCCGTGCGGCATTTCAGCAGAACTGGGATCAACAGGGAGTCCTCAGCTGACCCCGGATTCTGGAGAAATGCCACGCGGAACCCGGCCCCCAGCTAACCCCAGGCTCTGCGCAGCAAGGCATTTCAAAAGGGCCGCCACTGCACAGCTCATCCCCAGCTCAACTGTGCAGCACTGCCCCTTTAAAACACCACCTTGGCGTATCAAAGGAGCAGCGCCCCACAGCTGAGGCCAGGATCAGTTGTGCATGCTGCCCCATTGTAAGGTGAAAGAGGCAGTCAAGGGGCAGCATCCGCAGCATCGTGTAGCCCAGGATCAGCTGTGGAGTCCCCAGCTGACCCTGGGCTCCACAGCTCTGCCCCTTTTGAAATGCCACCTCGGTGTTTCAAAGGGGCAGCGCTGTGGAGCCCGGGGTCAGCTGGGGACTCCACAACTGATCTTAGGCTCCGTGCAGCATTTCAGCAGAACTGGGATCAACAGGGGAATCCCCAACTGACCCTGGATTCTGGAGAAATGCCACGCGGAACCCGGCCCCCAGCTGATCCCAGGCTTAGCGCAGCATGGAGCCTGGTATCAGCAGGGGACTCTGAGTCCCCCTCTGAATCCAGGCTCCATGAGGGCTCCGTGGCTTTGAAATGCACAAGAGCCCCTGTTGAGGACTCTTGTACATTTCAAAAGCTGGCCCCCAAGCAGCCTGGAGTCAGCAGGACTTCCCGCTGGCCCCGACTGCAGGCAGAGTTCCGCATTCCTCCTTTGATATGTGGAAGTGCCTATCGACTAGTCGATGGAAATTCCATTGACTATTCGACTAGTCCATTAACCGCAATTTAACATCCTTAGATGAAAATATGTCACTAGCTTTGTAGGCAATGAAAATACCGCCCCTATTCACAGATGTCTACGCAGGGGGAGGAGGCTGTCTTTTCATTGCCTATAGCTTTGTAGGCAATGAAAATACCGTCCCTATTCACAGATGTCTACGCAGGGGGAGGAGGCTGTCTACATACAGCCTGAAGATTTTGCCCAATCCAATTAAATATGAAAATAGACACATATACTAGTTCGCAAAATCCAGAGCGTAGCATTCACCAGAGGCACGTTAGTTTGTTTTCAGCATAGCTTGACGACGTTACACATGGTTTGTGTGACACAGCTCTCCAGCTTTCACATTTTCCCTCACACTTAACAAAAGCCAAGTCAGAGCCTGCCTCTACTTGCAGCAATATAGAGTTCCACCCTGCAAGGCACCAAAGCCCCCAAATTACTCCCACCAAAGGCAGGAGGATTCAGGGGTGCTAGCAGCTCACAATCAGGAGGATGGCTGGTAACGGGGAGAAAACAGCCTCCCCTCCCACCACTTCCCAGCTTTGAGTCTCAATACAGAGCAAAGCAGCTGCAAGAATATCCATGTAAACACAAAACACAATAGCCTGCCAAAACGTGGTCAGACTACGTACGAATGTTCAATTCTTTTAAATCACCAACATTTACAACCCACGCACCCCACCCCACCCCGTGGTTTCATACAAGTTATTATTAAGCTTTCCAGAAAGACTTCTGAAAGACACAATAAATAGCGTAGCCATTAATGACTTACTTGTACCTGCCAGCGCACTGATAGCAAAAGTAAATTATGTGAGGTCAACATAACCCAAAAGCAGCAGCTAATGGCTGATAAAGGCCCTTTCCCTCCTCCACTGTCCCTCCTAACACTCTCTGCTCATTTCAATGGAATAATGGGAGAGGGAGGACAGATTTCTGTGCAGAGCTGCCCTGATAACAGAAGGATGCTGATGGATGGGGATATTTTTGTGTGTCAGGATCAGGTCACAGCTACCATTTCCTGTGATCAGAATCTGTTGTGCAAGGCAGCCCGGTTAACCCTGCTGCCTCCGGTGTGAGGGGTTACAACCCAGAAGGGGCTGCTCCTGATTTTGCCTGTTTCTCCTTAAATCAGGAAGCACGAATTGAAATCTACAGATGAGCTAGCTGCCTCCACCCCACACCTGGGTCACAGTGTGCGTGTGTTTATGTGTGTGTGAATATCCACGTTACAGATCAGGGAAGCTGGTTAATGCACACGAGTGGCTGCTTTCTCAGCTCTAGTTTTCAATCCTAGCAAATGGACACACACCTCCTGCCTCCCCACACACACCACATACACACGCACAAAGACACTGCACAAATGAACAGCAAAATGTGCAACCAATACCTTGCTATAATCCAAATTACTTAGTCCTCCACAGCAGTCCAAGTGGGATGGCAAAGCAGCGCCTGCCAGCATTCAAAGCTCAGGTTTTCTTCTAAACTGCCCACTCCCTAAGCATTTTATAACCTGTCTGGACAGGGGCCATGCCCAGGCTAGGGGTGAGGGGCAGTCAATAGAACCTCACCCCTGATCAGCTGTGGCAGCCCTCCCCAGCAAGCACCCAGCCTGGCTTCCTGGTTATCACGTTAAACCCTGCCCGGGCATTCTGGGAAATGTAGTTCCTGCTACCCACACTTGCCAGCTGCTTCTCAGGAGAGAACTACAAGGCCCAGAGGACCCAGGGAGGCTGAGGGCTTAGCAAAGCCTCCAGGCTTAAAGCAGCTGAGCAGTGCAGCTAATTCCCCCCTGGGGTAGAGCCACTGGCTCTAGGAGGCTAGGCCAGGGAGGGTTAGAAATTAAAGTCGTGAATCACTGACCTTTTTAGTACTGTGCCACTTTCTGCCGGCTGGAGGGGATTGGCGGGGCGGATTCAGTGGGGCTCCAGCTGAGCAGAGCTGCCCTGGACTCTGCCCTGTGGGGAGGCTGCTGTCCAGCCATGTGGCAGTGACAACCTGTGTCCGGGAGGGAGCCGATCGATCCGTCCTTCCCACAGTCTCCAGCCAGGCCGGGACTTTCACGCCTCTTTGTGGAAGTCAGCTCAGGACAGGGACTGTGGCCTCCGAACGTGCACGCGTGGCACCTAGTGCGATGGGGCCAGTTCTGATTGGCGTCCTTCCACACCACGAGCGGGTTGGTGCTGTGAGGGGCGCCCCCCTCTCTGCGCTTATTGATTTCCAGAGTCGCTGTGGTTGGCTCTCAGCCCCTTCTGGGGCGGGATTGGGGTTTGATCTGGTGGTTTGAATAGGTAGGGCCAAGAAGTAAGAAGAGAAGGGTCATATCCATCTCTCAACAGAGCAGCACAGATCTGCCCAACACCTCCGTCTTTAGGATGGGGAGGGGGAATCTGTTATAAATAGCGCAGGGCAGTGTTCCCTGTAAGCTGAGCGCTTGTGCGGCCCCTCAGGAGAGATTCTCATGCTGCCCAGTGAATTAGCAGAGTGCCCGCTGCTAAATTTGTGTTTCTCCTGGTGGGGCATTTTCACACATGCCTCAGCACACATAACATTTATTCTCCACATGGATGGGAGGAAAATCCACACACGGCACATCGTCTAATACGTGCAGAGCCCAGCTGAGAAAGGGGGAGGGGGCTGGGCTGGGCTCCTGGAGCTGCCCTCTACTAAGGGACTCCATGCTCCATACCCATAGGGCCCTTAGGTACAGAGGGCAGTCTTGCCCTGCCCCCACTCTCTCCCCCCACACACATTACTTTGGAATCCTCTAGCTGTTCCTACATCCCTTTGGGCTGCGTAATGTTCCTTCCTCAAAATGAAGGCAATTTGTTACGGAAGACAGTGAACACAGAAGCAAGGAGGCTCACTAATAGTTCGTATGCAGATCTGCAATATGAACTAAAAATCATCCCTGTACTTCCGGCTGGAATGTGTGTGTCCATTAAGCAGGCTCATGCCAGTAAGAGCTGCCTTTTTCTTTAATTTATGGCAATGCCTACAGCTGATATTTAGTGTTCGCTTTGGAATCAGAAGCATCAGCAAATACACTGTTCCATCTGGAACTATGAGATTTGGTGACAAAACCTAAAAAACAACAAATACTGTAGTAGCACATTAAAAACTGACAAAACATGTAGATGGTATCATCAGCCTTTGTGGGTGCAACCCGCTTCTTCAGATGCCTGGAACTAAGCCCACCAGCAATGTTCCCTCTCATTTTTCCACCCACGTGCGCAATAAATATTGTTATGTGCACCAAGGCATGTGCAGATGTGCACCAGCAATAGAAACACATGCTGCCAGCTGTAGGTGCTCTGCTGATTGGCTGGGCAGCACCTGAATCGCTTCCGGGGAGTCACCCAAGCACTCTGCTTACAGGGAGCACTGCCCACTAACTTTGCTTTTGAAGTGATCACATCCTCGTCAGAGATCAGATGTGGTGGGATTCAGATGCATTCTAAAATTCTCTGGCTGCCCCTTCAATTTCTAAAGAATTTAAGCTTTTACTTTTAAAAAATTTAGCCCCTATGATTAAGAAGGAAGCCTGAATTTGAGCACGGGTGGTGAGTGAAGGTAGGGCTGGGAGAGGTAAGCCTTCAGCCTCACCCCATGGGAGCCAAATCCTCCTCTGACCCCAGAGCACCCAGGGGAGGGTGGGCGCTTGGGGGCAGTAACACTCCACCCCAGTACACCGTCTGTCGGTGTTCCAGGTGTGGAGTACGGGTGTGGGCCAGCCTGGTGATTTGGGAAGGCAATGCCTTCCCCTGCCTCTTACGCCTGCCACCCCTGTTAATAGCGTTGTTGCTATCTGCTAGAGTCTGCAGAGTGACAGCCTGAAGCCACACACACATATATAGATGTACACAGAGCCCTGTAAATCAGTGGCTATCTGCTTTATATTTGCGGGTATCTACATCTACGGATATGGATGCAAATATTTTTGCAAATATGGATGCAGACATAGATACAAATTTTGTATCTAAAACCCTGCAGATTGGCAGCTATCCACTTTATATCTGCAGGTATCCACATCTGTGGCTGCGGATGCACATATCTGCGGCTCATTTTTGCAGATACCGCTGTGGATGTGAATGCAGATGCCAATTTTGTATCTGCGCAGAGCGGTAGATAGACATCAAAATTGGGCTTTAACTCTGGAACCTAATGGTGATAATTGGAATGTCAACAGTGTTAGCTATTTCACTGTGAATTCTTTGAATGGAAACATTTAACTACTCTGAATTGTAAGTGGAATTTTGGGGGGTGGGCTGAGCTTCAGTAGAAATCCACCAATATGTCCCTCCCCACTGGTCCCCACACACAAGCAGGAAAGCATTAGGAAAATGTGCAGGAAAGGGAGCTCCCAAACCCACAAAAGACACATCACAACATGGACTAGCAGCATCAGTGCTCTTAACAGCCTAAGAAAGGCTAGGAATCCTCTTCCAGGAGGAAAAATGGAAGTTTATGAATCAGTGCCACATGCATAGCCAGCCAGAAGGAAGTTGCGTGTGGCATTATTAAGGCCTATTCAACTGTGGGCGTTATGCGAAGAAAACCCTACCTGATGAGGGACCTGACTGCAGGGGTATGCCAACCTGTGCTGTCATGTCAGACTCATTAGCCATTGCTGACACAAAAGTGATGACAAATAGTTTAGAAACACAATGACGCGCCGCCAGTTCCAGTCATCACAAGGGACAGACCATGAGACCTTCTGCTCCAAAGAGATGCTGTTGCATGGGTCAGTACGATCCTCCAGTAGCTGTAGAAACAGCCCGACTTATGCCACTTCTGGGCGCTAGTGGGCAACTTAGACACACACACTTGGGCACCTCTCACTACAGTGGGACACGCTGACCGGGTCAGTAGATCTACATGACATCAGGATACTGCGGGACGATGAGGCTTCACAGCATCTGCTTCCTCACTGCCCAAGGGTGCGCTGCCCTGGAGGTGTGAGGCAGTCAGTTCTAGCAGGGGACAGAACACTTAGCATTATGTTGCTGTTCTGTGCCAACCAACCAGAGCCCTAAGGTTCACAGGAGCATTCAGAGTTAGGTACCAGCAGGAGAGGGGCAAGGATGCCATAGGAGGAGATCCCTGCAGTAGTCCAGATTCCTGGAGAGGAAGTGTGGTCCAGTGGGTGGGGCACAGTCCTGGAAGTCAGGAGACTGAGATTTAGTCCTAGCTCTGCCACTAACCTGAGCAAATCACTTCACTTCTGTATCCCCCTCTTATTTTGTCCATATTCTCCTAGAGATTTTTAAATCTTGGCATGACAAAGCCCTGGATGGGTTGATTTAGTTGGGGTTGGTCCTGCCTAGGGCAGGGGGCTGGACTTCATGACCTTCTGAGGTCTCTTCCAGCTCTATGATTCTATGATTCTATGATACTGCGCTCCATGGATTTGGGCAGCTAGTCAAAGTTCAAGGCCCGGGGATGTTCCTGCAGCGTGTAGAGACTGATGGAGTCCACTTTTTTCTTTGATGCCATCTTGTTTAAAGTCCTGCTTCTTTGCCTGCAAGCAGAACCAGGATCAAAAATGACCTATTTCCTAGCTTACAGCCCCAAGTCTAATTAGCCAGCAACTCAACTGGTGTGTCTCTAGCTTTTTCCAGGGTCACACGATGCTGACAAGCTATTGCTTGGCTGTCGTGCTTTTTGCTTCTTCCTGCCTCTCAGTTCCTGCCTTTTCTCTCTCTCACACACAGACACACACTCACCACTGAAGCCCTCTGCCCACTCAGTCCATATTTCTAGGTAGGTTCACAAGCTTCTTTTGTCTTGGAGTAGGGTGGTGACTGGACAGGGAGCTTCTGATTAATTCCTCCAGACAGTTATTCTAATGGAAGCGTGTGTTTCCCCACAGTCATGATGAGGTATTTACACAGCATAAGATTTCACCCTGCTCATACAGTCTAGAGATAGTGATAGAAATGTAGCTGTGTTAGTCTGGGGTAGCTGAAGCAAAATGCAGGACAATGTAGCACTTTAAAGACTAACAAGATGGTTTATTAGATGATGCGCTTTCGTGGGCCAGACCCACTTCCTCAGATCAAATAGTGGAAGAAAGTAGTCACAACCATATATACCAAAGGATACAATTTAAAAAAATGAACAAATATGAAAAGGACAAATCACATTGCAGAACAGAAGGAGGAGGCGGGGGGGTGGGAAGGGGGAGGAAGGAAGGTAAGTGTCTGTGAATTGATGATATTAGAGGTAGGGAGAGTGGGATGTTTGTGAGTTAATGGTATTACAGGTGATAATTGGGGAAACTGTCTTGATAATGGGTGAGAAAGTTCAAAGACTTGTTAAGTCCCTGGTGGTAAGTGTCGAATTTTAACATGAATGACAGTTCAGAGGATTCCCTTTCAAGTGCAGATGTAAAAGGTCTTTGTAGCAGAATGCAGGTGGCTAAGTCATTTAGAGAGTGTCCTTTCTGGTTAAAGTGGCAAGAAACTGTTTTCTCTTTGTGATCTTGTCTGATATCTGTTTTGTGGGCATTAATCCTTTGGCGAAGTGTCTGAGATGTTTGTCCAATGTACATAGCAGACGGACACTTTCGGCACATGATAGCATAGATTATATTTCTGGATGCGCAGGAATATGTGTTCTTGATCTTATAACTCACTTGGTTAGGTCCAATAATGGTATCAGCAGAATGAATATGTGGACAAAGCTGGCAACGGGGTTTGTTGCAAGGGAAGGTACCAGGGTTGGTATTAGTGTGGTATGTCCTGTGGTGGTTGGTAAGAATCATCTTGAGGTTAGGTGGTTGTCTATAGGAGACTATGGGTCTGTCTCCCAGAGCCTCTTTGAGTATGGTATCCTGTTCCAATATAGGCTGTAGTTTATTGATAATGTGTTGGACAGGTTTAAGTTGGGGGTTGTAGGTGATGACAAGTGGTGTTCTATTGTTGGTTTTCTTGGGTCTGTCTTGAAGTAGATGGTTTCTAGGTATTCGTCTGGCTCTTTCAATTTGCTTTTTTATTTCTCCGGGTGGGTAGTTGAGGTTTATAAATGCTTGGTAGAGATCCTGAAGCTTCTGGTCTCTGTCAGTGGGGTTAGAGCAGATGCGGTTGTATCGAAGGGCTTGGCTATAGACGATGGATCGGAT